TTGTTTTTTATTTTTTTATTTTTTTGTCGAGAACTCCTGTCTCGGGAGAATGGGCAACCACGTCCTGTGCCAAGATTTAAAGTATATTATAACTATCATTATTACCAGCTCTGATTTGAACAAGTTTTGTCTCAAACAACTTACTTGAAATAATAGTTGTTTTTCTGACACGTTGACAATTTATCTGTGATCTTTCCCGGATGTAATTTATTCCTGACTTGTTGCCATGCTGACATCGACGTTAATATATTCCACCTCAATTTAATGCGAATCCAACTAAAAACTTCTCATAACCGAGCGATAAATTGCTTTCATACCATAATATGTAAAGTTTAGTACCTCAATATCTTGCGGCATTTAGTAACTTTGCCTAGAAAGTAAGTGCAAATACATTATTCGTTGAAATTTGGTGAAATTGCTACTTACAAATTTAGTTGCTATCGAGCCGAAAAGGATGTCACGGTTTTTTTAATGCTGTTCCTTCAGTTGAGACCGCAACCGATATTTTCAAACTGAATTTCACAGCTATACTAACTCTTTAGAGCGACTGGTTACCTGTGAAAACATTATTTGATGGTAAAACGAGTAAATTGCACGATAAATAGCTATTGTACTATAATAAGTCGAGATTAATACCGCAATATCTGTCGTCATTTAGTATCCTAGCCTAGAAAGTAAATGCAAATAGCTTATACGTTGAAATTTATTTTCAACATTTTCTTACAACTTTCTTTGCTATCGCGTTGAGGCATAAGAAGTGGTGCAGTAAGTGTTGGCACTGCCCAACACTCATAAAGAAATACTGAATATTTTAGTTCACACCCATGAATATTGAATGCCTGTGGCAGAAAATTGAATCATGAATATTCGTCAAACAAGGTGAGAAAATAACAAAATAATACTCGTCGATCATAAACTAGAAATATTGAGTAGCTATGGAGAGACTGGCATCACACCCAATGATCACTTTAAATGCAAGTAAAACAACTCGGCTATTGCGTCAAATTTAACCTTCAGTCTATTTGACTATGGATCACAATAAAACATCCGCAAAATAATTTCTCTAGGAAAACAGTTCCAAACGGCTAAGGGTGTTGCCATGGTTTCCAGCGCTTCGTGTTTAATTTAAGCCTGTCTTTGAATATCACCTCGCTACAATTCTTATTTTTACTACCAGTAGAGTCTTTTACAGATACCGTTTAATTGTCGGAAGAGTAGCTGTTCTTTTTTAATTCTTCGTTCAATTGGGTATTTCTGGAAACTCATTTTTACCATGCTAATTATATCTGTTATCATTTTATTGAAGTGTCTTGTGAGACTGACAGACTGAATGAAATATTTTTAAAAGCCTATTACGAGACTTTGTAATCAGACGACACTTGTAACTTTGGATCTTCACTGATCAACCTCATAACATGTACAGGAAGCGTAACAAATGTCCTTCGTGGTCGTTCCTGGACCCAAGCCCGAGGCATTTTCAGTTCGGACCACACCATCTGCACGCATAACGTTCTGCGAGACTTATCACTTAATTTATTGTCGAAATTGAGAGAGAGTAAGGAGGTTTCCCTTTGTTCAAGCCACGGACGGCAAATTTTGCACAGTTTTCAGACAAATTGCCTTCCCAAATTAATATTATTTTCTTCTCTTCAACACAAATGCGAAATTCAATTGATGCAAAATGTATGCAAATATAAAACGTGTCACGGGTCATGATGTCTTGTTCATTGGACAAAAGAATTAGCAATTTTCTAGTAATAAAAATACTTAGCTTATAACACGTAACTGCATTGTTGGTTGTCTTCAGACAGGACTCGAGTGAAGGCTTGCTTCTTAGTAAGTAATGATTTATTATTCCCAACGTTCTTCTGTAAATTATTTGCCTAACACCTCACACACTCCTTTCTAGAAAGTCACAGATTTACTGCAATAATGTTATTATTATACCCTTTTTAAGCAAATTTTAGGTAGACAGACCTCGGTTACTAACCTTTGCTATGGAAAGCTTACTACTCTTTTGAGTAGGCTGAGTAACTTACATTCAGTAGCGACATGGAGATTCAACAAATTGAGGCTTGATAAGAATAATACATATCCCAACTGGATAATTTGAATTTAACTAATATTTTTTAAGCATTATCTCCTGATATCTGGATCAACCAAATTATGCAAAGACAATGCTAACTTTTAAATAAAAATGCACACGTGGTCATCTATCGCTAAATGCTCCGCCACCAAAATTCATACTTTCATGACTCGAAACAACGTATTCGTTTGCTGCGCAGAGCCATAAATTTCACTGATGTCACCGATTTGCTTTATCGCTTGATACTCTTTAAAACATATCTAGTTTGAACATTTAAGGGAAGACAGAAAAAAGAAGAGAACAACTGAAATGAAAGTCAGATCTACTTGAATCGTTACGTTCTTTCAAGTCTTTCAACAATGAGTCGATCGTTCAGGAAAAAACAAACTTTTTGCGTTATTTATATTTCGACTTATTTTGATATATCAGTATCACAGAACTAAGCATTGGTCTCTATATTTGAAGAGCTGGATGATGTTAACGCTTGTTCCTATATTATAATCAATGAGGCCTGGAGTTCAAGGGAAACGTCTTATGACGCGTGGCATTCGAAATAATTATAGAATATTTATATTGTGTTAATGTTAATGCTTGCACCTGTTGCTTTTCAGAAAAATATGTATGTATTCAGGCAATTGTCTTGCCAATTTAAGGAGGCCGATAATCGTGTTTATGAGCCATCAAAAAATGAGCTAAAAACATAAACTAAATCCACGTCTTCTGGGGTCTGAAATAAAACCACAACGGCAATAGCTTGATTATTTCTGGTAGAGCTTAAAGGGAATCTGTTACTACAGTTTTGCCTCATTTTGGTCAGAACAGTTCTGAAATTGACTAATTACCTTTTGCTTGCACAAAATGCACTTAGAGCGCTGAGAAAAAATGACGATATTAAATGAATTGTCAAAGGAAGAACAAATTTGTATTGGTTTTTAGCTATTTTCCAAGACAGGATGACAGAGTGCACTGCCACAACCTTGTGTATGCGCAAACCATCATGTTGCTCCTTCTATAGCAACATCGCAGTTTGCAGCTTTTTCCAGCATTTATGCCTTGATGAATCAATGCTATTGGCCTTTATTATCTGATGATGCTACAATAACGGTATCGAATACGCCGAATGCACAATTACTGGTAAACAAGTTGAGGTCATCTTTTGAACAAACAGGTCAACAGTATAGTCCCCATTCTTTATTATCGTGTTAATCAGAATGTTCAGCCACAAAGTTTTGCAAAGTTTAAAATAATTCTGTGCAGGGGTTCAGGTTCTGTTGGGGTGGGAAAGCAGGGTGTAGAATTTAAGGTTGTTCTGAGCTCCCTCCACTAATTTTTTTAAACGTTTCTGCGATAAATGTTGGTGATAACGGCTGTTGTTTAATTTCTTGTCAGGTGGTGGCACGAAACCAATATGAAGGCGTTTTTGCTGTTGTTGGGTGTGATATGTCTCACTTGTCGCACCAAATCCATTCCAGTACATACTTTTTCAAGTGAAACTGAGTATGCCATACTGTTTGATGCTGGATCGAGTGGCACTCGCATGGAAATCTACCAGTTTTTGGCCAGCGGACCTACCCTGAAACCTTCGGATATTCTGGAGCTTAGTCCTTCTCCTTCCAAAGTAGAGCCTGGTCTTTCAAGCCTTGCTGAGGACCCCTCCCAAGTTGAAGAATACATGACGCCCCTACTGGAATCTGCCAAGAAGACCATTCCAGAAGACAAGCAGGCATCCACACCCATATTTTTGTTAGCGACAGCAGGAATGAGATTATTGCCTGAAGATCAAGCAGACGCTATCTTAAATGAAGTTCAAAAACTGTTTAATGACAAAGACAAATGTCCATTTATGTTTCAGGATGATAATGACGCTAGAATTATTACCGGCCAAACCGAAGGGATATATTCTTGGGTTACTGTTAATTTTCTGGCGGGTGCATACCGCTTGAAAGGTTTTACCTACGGCAGCTTAGATTTGGGAGGGGCGTCCCATCAAAACACCTGGATATTTAATAGCAATCACTCAGATGTCATGGTCATAGCTATTGCCGGACGAAACTTTAGTATTTTTGCTCGTAGTTATCTGGGTTTTGGACAAGATCAAGCTCGAGAACGTTATCTGAGAGTCATTGCTCAAAAAGAGAATTGTGATGAAAATTCCGAGTGTGTCGTAAAAAGCCCTTGCCACAATAAAGGATTTAAGGAGCCCCTTACATTTGATGATCAAGAAAGGGTATTCGAAGGGACAGCTCGAGTAAATCTTTGTAGGCGAATAATAAGTAAGATATTTTTCTGTCATTCACCAGATTTGGAAGAGTGTCCTTTTTCTGATCAACCCAAATTAGAAGGAAAATTTTACGCGTTTTCGGCGTTCTATTATGTTTTAACAGGGATTAAAGCGGTTTGTTCCGATTGTGAAAACAACCAAGTTTCACCAGCGAAAATCCGGTTGTATTCCAAATCGTTCTGTAAAACAGATTATAATGAGCTGAAGGAAGATCCCTATGCTAAAAATGATTGCTTTGGTGCAAACTACATCTACGAGTTGTTAACTGAAGGGTATGGACTTCGCCCATACAGGAAAATAACAGTTGCTAATTCGCTGAATGGGTTTGATTTGGGTTGGACCTTGGGTGCGGTGTTGCATAACACAGGCATCTTAAATGCTTGAATTTGTCCTCGGTCTGGCATCATTTGGCATGGGTGAAGGGAAGCTACCGAGTTGTGAGGTTATTAACTTACTATCTTTACCTAAGGGAAATTAAATAAAGTTATCTCTAACTTAACGGAAGACTAGTTTATGTTATTTTTCGCTTCCGGTTTTCTTCCATCAGATGGTTAGGATTTCACCGAAGTTAATTTAAACCCCGGGTAAAGCTACAACATTGAGCACAACGTTAATCTGACGCAGCAAAACTGGCAACGATAGCCACAAGCAGCAGTTTAGCACCTTTGCTTTCAAGGGAGAATCGTTTCACAATCGTTTGGTTTAAGATGGGATGGTCAAAATATTCAAAATTGTCGTGGCTAGCGGACATACGCCAAAATATTTACGCTAAGCTTGACGTTAAAATCGAATCTACTTGTAAAAATATTGCTCCCAAAAGTGCTAAGCGTTGACGAGGATGACGTCTAAGGCACGGCCTGGGCCAGGGGTCTGGGTTTGAAAATGACTATTCTCGACTAGCAAACAATAAATAACATTTTAAAAATTAAGTGTTCAAATAGTTGTACCCCAGGTGGCTTGGCGTTGGGGCGATGTCATTTTCATACAGGGTCTCGATCTATTCTCATAGCGACTAGTAAGCATGCGAGAAGTTCTCGGTGAACGAGCTTAATTTCTTTGACATCTCATCGTGCAGTATCGTGGGAAAAGCACCGTCTCGATTTCGCCTCATAATTTGACATTTCTATGCTTCCCTCGTGTCCTTTACATTTCCGCCCACTAGTAAAACTCAAAACTTATTGCATCTCAGTCTCAGTGCGCACTATGGAGCCATCTTAGCTGCAGCTGTTTAAGGAGCTTGGTCAGCTTAGTAACTGGTACAATGTTAGGATCTCTGAGTTTGACATTCAAGGATAAATTCGTTTCCATACACTGCGAAATTTCTGGTTGAAAAAAGGCAAATAGGATGTGTCCGGTGGCCTCTATCCACTTTCTTCAAACCGGATTGAGAACATTTTTCACAAAAAAAGAACTTACATAAGGCAAATAATTTTAATTTGCTCTAATTCTAATACTAACACAGATCAACACCATTAGCCATGAACTTCTTTCGGGTTACCCCTTGGAAAAAAACAACATAAAAAAGGCTAGACAATTTCCTTTCCGCTATGTACGTTCATTAAATCTTACAAATCTTGCATGGACAAAAGGAAGAGTCAACTTGACTCAAAATAACGCTTATTTTATTACTCCAGTCAATAATTAACACCCAAAGAGTCTATATTGACCCCGAATTTCTTCCCGGTGATCTGTAATCTAACTTTGAACACGCGAAACGTCAACTAAAAGCGTGTCACAGTGACGTGTTGCTTGGAGTCATTTGCGCCGTGAACACGATCTTCCTCGCTGTTTGGCTCATTTGGAGCTTTTTTTTGGAGCTCGGACGGCATGGCCTTTGAATCATCCTGCTTCTCCAAGCTTCTTTGTTGTTTGCAAGCCAAGTAATTTTCGTTATTGTCTTGGTCATCAGAGCCTTGTTTCGAGTTATTCACTCTTTTCATATTATGATCTTGGTCTTCAGGTTTCTGTTGAGGCGAAACTGCAGATTTTTTGTTGTCACTAAAGGTTCCACTTAAAGAGCTGGTGGACTTCGACGTTGATAAACTAAACAAGCGTTTCACTCGAGTGGACGCACGGCGTGCATTTGTCTTGATCTGAAAAGAAAAAAAGAACAGTTTTCATTCCATGGTCGCAAATCAGTCCGTTGTCCATGAGCTGTGTGTATTAGGGAAACGTTGGTCGAGTTCTTCGATTCGTACGGACCTTGGTCCATAAACTTGCTGAAAATAAATAAAGAGACCAATATTCCACAATACGTTTCGAACAAACTAGCTCAGTGAAGTATTTCTTTTAATGATTGTTTCTTTGAAAACTCTGTTGTTAAATTAATTCGTATATGCGACCCACTCTCGCGGAAAGATAAAATATCAAAGTTCAACATTTATTTGCGCTTTGCAGGTCGCTTTTGTGAAATATGAATCGAACTGGAAAAGATTCCCACTTAAAAATAAACTGTTTTCCTTCGTGCAGTATTTGAAAAAGCAATTGGCAACCACTGTGAGGGGAAAATTTGCCGATATTCTTAAGTATAGAAAAGCTAACAGTTAGCAGTTAAGTGAAGGTCCAATAACCATGGTAACCACCTGTCTAGATGTAGTATCGTGTAAAATAAATTTACATGACCCGGCGATCGTGTTCACCCAAAACTTGTACTATAAAATGCGATTTTGATGCATGTTATTAGACGCACATGATTACATACTCAGTACTTACATCGTCATCAAAGTGGTATTGAGCTATCAAGAAATACAGTCCCTGTAAAGAATCAGTAAACATACATCAAAACAAGTGTAAAGCCAGTGGAGTCGGTAGCTCACAGTCTAGGTGTTACTATTTTCTACTGGAGCCATCCAGTGCAAGTGATCACAGCAATCAGTTATATATACATTACTTGGACAGTTCTTTAACAAAGTTTAAGTTTTTGGCTTGAAGTCAGAATTAGTTTATTGGTAAATTAGCAAAAATAATTACAGGAACTGAAAAAGAAGGATTTTTACAAGTAGAAGCAAGAATAGTGCAAGGGATGTCACGAGTTAATTGACCGAAAAGGGTTACGAAAACTGTCTCGAGCCGATGCACTCAACGGTTGAGCCATCCAAGGATTTCAAGGATTTTTTTAAAATGAAAATCTAGTAAAAGTCGCTCGATTATTAGGCAAAACGTCCTTTACTTTTCCTTTACTTTTCCTTTACTTTTACGTTCTTTACTATATCCAATGGAAGGTACCGTTTCAGTAAAATATATATCATAAACGGCCAAGAATTTCCATCTTGGAGTGGAGCTTCTTCGTTATACTCTCCTCTTCCCCATGCAGAGCCATTCCCCGCCCCAGCCCTCGTTTTTGATTTTGTGCACAGTTTACAAAACTGTTTTACGGTTACCTGCAAGGAATTAACGACAGCAAACAGGTACTGGAACACAAGGGAGTTGTTGTGTATAGAAATAAAGCCCAAGAGCCAAGTCACACCCAACAACGGAGTAAGGATCACTAAAGTCTTGAAAGCCGCTCTGAAAATAACAACAGCAAAAACAGCAGTTAGCACAATGCTACTAATATACTAATGCAGACACTGCAATGTTATTGCTTGAACTAATGTACAGATCAGCTATTTGTCAATGTGCAGTGGCTGGAGGTTGTCTAAAAATTGAGGACATTTTCTCCTTCTCCCAAGTTTGGGAGGAAGACTTATAAATATCATTTTCCCAGGAAGGTTAAAACAATGGCAATCTGCGTTTTGCGACCTTAAAACTTCAACATTGTTGAACGAACGTGTACACAGCTGAGAGTTTCCACTAAAAATTTAATCCGCATGCGATCTCGCTAAAGTGTGAAGTTTAACACTAATCTATATCATATTAAGAAAAATCCTTGCGGGAAAAATTAACGATATTTTATACTGTATGTCAATACCTTATTTCTTGTTCAAAGGTTGATAATGTGCTAGTTTCTTTGTAACGAGTCTTTCGTATCACAATCTTGATAGCCACAACGAGAACAGCCAAGTTTACCTTCAAAAGCAAAAAGGATTATCTAAATACGTTTAGTCGTCATGTAAGGCAGTTTTCAATTGAGTGCCGTAAAACCAAAACCAAAGTAATCACTCTGGCCAATCACAGACGACACAGACAATCCAATAAACCAAGACTCGACTCCAATAACTGCTGCTGACGAGAGGAGCGGGAAAACGAGTGTGAGCGAGTCACAAGTGGTTTTGGTTTTACTTCTGATTGGTTGAGAAAGTGGCACGAGTTTTTTTAGCCAATCACTAAGCGTAGAAGGGTCAAGCCAAAGCAAATGAGAATTCCATGCATTTTCGACACAAGTGAGACCTAATCTAAACTGGGTTTAAGCTAACACTTATCTTTGTCACACCAAAGTTCAATTTTAAGACTATGTAAAATGAGACCCTTATAGCATATTTTATGAAACCAGGCAAACCCAATGGCTGGCCGGTATTGGCAAAGTCGTCATCTGATTGGCAGAGACACACAGTCTTACAAGGATCGATCAATAATAGGTGCTTAGAACTTGTTTCCATCACCACTGAAAGATTTCAACGAAACTGTTCATAAACCAGTTTTACTGCCGTTGCTCTATTCTAAACAGATATGTTATTGGGTTATACTTTTAAAGCCAGTAGACTGCCCGTCTCTATCCGGTGTCTAGCTGGTCTACTCAGTACGTTTTCATAGACTTTGGTAGATGTCTTCGCTTAGTGCCAACGTTCAACCGACAGAAATTGTACACTAATTGTTTATTAGCCACTGTATGTAAGATTCACATGTAATATCCTGACCTAACCTAAGATTTGCCTGAATAATCTATCCAGGCATTTGCACATTCCGTTCAGAAAAGTAGTTTCTGTCAAACGCATGTTGAATAATTATTGAAACGACACGTCTTCCTTTGAGGGAAGGGTGGAGTGGGGCCTTGACAGATTAAATCATTTTCTTTGTCAGGGCTAAAGTATGTTTTATTTTATCCAGTGGAATGCAACATAATTTCTTTGATATCTACTGGATATTTTTTTTCCAATTTAGGTGTTTCATTCCAACCTAATGTAATCTTGGGAAAATATTTTTTGTGCAACACCGTCCCTTATGCTTTCAACAAAGTTTATTTAAGTAATCAACTCTATGATCTGCCTAGTCCTATTGGATTTTATTAGGCAGCCAGTGGAAGAATATTGAAATATCTGTTAAAATGATGGACTTTCAATGTCACAGGTGAGAATCTTTTTGTGGCTTACGTGTACTTACCAATAATATAAAGGCCACAGGTCCAGCAAATGACCAAATGACCTGGTGAGAAATCCAGCAACTGCCGGGAGAATACAAACAATGAAACGGATCTTAAGAGCTCCTACTGCATGTTCAGTTTCACGTTTGAAACTCTTTTTTAGTCATAACAAATTGTTTTCCTTCACTGGCAAGAGAGTGGTTTTCAGTAACTAGTAATTGTAAAATGGAATTTGATAAAAGCAAATTAACATCATGGCCATTTTGAAAAGATGACGTTTTAAGTTTCTGGGCCTGTCAGCATGTACAGCTGTAAGGAAAGGGTAACATATAATGATATGTTTCTAAGACATCACATCGAAAACAAGGCAGAAGTGGCAACTTTCTAGGCTGCAGCTACTTACTACTCCGTCGTTCTTCTCCTTTCAAAGCCCGCAAGCTAGGGCATCGTGTTTTGTCATGATCTCCTCCCAAATTAACTCGGAAAATAATAATGAAATGGGTTTAAGCTTCAATACAATGCAGGAATAAGAACACTTATTAACTTACAAGTCATCTCTTAGGTATTGATGGCGGGAAATACTTGCTGTTACTGCTACAACGAGAACAGGAAGACCTGGTATGGAAATAAAAATAGGTTTTATTCATCCTCAACTATGACGACGTTTTTCACTAAAGTTTCCATTCTCAAGGCCCACTAACAAGCGTTCAATACAAAGCAGTCCAAAAATAACATTTGCGCGACAATGGTGTTATATTTGGTGACATCCTGTAACTGAAGTGTCTTTCTTTTATTCCTAACATCTTTCAGAAATGTTTTTCCCAGTAGTTTTGATAGGGAGATAAAAAGAGGTTACAGTATTTGCTTCGTCCAATTTTTTCCTCGACTGTTCTTACACTTGGCTACGTTCAGTTTAGTCCGATCACCACATTCGCGATTTAACCGTGAAATCCAACAGTCCTGTTACACTGTCGTCTGATTTCATTTATCACTTGTAATATTACAGATCGAGTAACAAGACTTTACTTACTTAGCCCTGTTACTATTATCTGCACGATGTTGTACATGTTGCTCTACAGCCACATTTTCTTTTCTATTTGAAAAGTGTTTTAAGAACACTTCTGCGGCATTTTCGTCCAATTTTCTACATCAATTTGTTTTTTGTATAATCTTATTTAACGGTAGAAACGAACGGATGAAAATAGGAAGAATGTGCTTACCCCAGGCAGAAAGAGAATAAATTCTCAATCGGCTGGTAACTCGAAACACTTTCACCATCCCCCTCAATAGATTAATACCTTCTACCATCATCCAGCAAAACGCCGCCAATTGAAAATAATGAAGAAGAGCAGCAAAGGCGAAACACACACCCTGAAAACAACAACACAAGATCAAAATCACCAAACATAACATAAAAAACGTTTCCCAACAACTTATGATGTACTTTATACTTTACTAAGAAATTCTTAGAAAGTTTCAAATCACTATCAGACACCTTTAAATCTCACATGAAAATACCAAGAAGATAAACTGATCTTTTCCTTTGATGCAACACTTGAAAGATGAGCTGATAACACACTCTCGACCGTTTCAGATTCACCTATTCACACCTTGCACACACAATCTGATTACAAAACAGACTCCATCGACAGAGGCAACTACAATTAACTTGAAAGCGTCATGTCAATGATTTGTTTACGAAAGGTACGATAAATCGAGGTGCTCAAAAGGAGGGTCCCAATAGACGGATTCGGCTAGCGTGTTGCCACCCAATTCACATTATGTGATGATTCATTTGGGAGGTTACAACTTTTCTGTTTATACATACTCCCGTGCAATCAATTATCTGTGGCAAATTGCACAATTGTAACCTCCCAAACGAATAATCACGTGGTCTGAATTGGGTGGCAACAGCGATATAAACAGGTCTCTTGCAAAGAAAAGGGAAGAAGGATCTGAAGATTTACTCTTTCTTAATGAGGAAGAATGAAAAACAAATGAATTCATTGACTTACCTTTATTCGAACTCCAGGATAACCGAGAAGAAAAAAGAAAATAGCGAGGCTCTCAGCTGCTGCAAGGTTCATGTGGATATACAGTGTCTCTGTGCGTCTCCTGAGTAAAATAATGTTTATGTTTAATTAGGTACAATGAAAATGCAGAATCAAATGCGCTGAATGAGAACTGATTCATATCATTTAAGAGAACTAAACAGAACAATTTGTTTATTCCAACCTCCAAGTGATTTCTTTTTTAGGATTTTTAGCCTCGAAGCCATGTTATAAGTTTCATTTCTCACAATTGGCCTGCCTGTTGTATTAATACTTATGGACTTTGAGAGTTCACTTTCAAATAAATAAAATGATGGATAGCTTGACTATTTAAAGGATATAGACATGACTTCAAGAAATAGATCATACCTTAAAAAGTAAAATGAGAATTGCAATGTGACGTAACAAATGAAGGAGATCAAACATCCGATGATGGACACGATTGACAAGGCCAGCTCATGATCCTCAGGTATTGAATCACCTTCCTGTTAACAACGTAACATTTATCAGTCATGACAGATACTGAGATTTACACTTAACACATGTAAATGATATGTACACTAAAAACTGAAAGTTTTATCCATCAGGAAATATCAGTCAAACATATTTTTTCATATATAGGAAGAGTCGAATGGGATGGCTTTTGAATGAATAGATAATTTTCGCTAGTCCAGTCGCCCAACTTCTACACGTTTTAATTTGACAAAGAACATTGACAAAACGTAAAGCTTGTAAATGGAATGCGACTACACAATTTGGGGTTCTGAAAACAAAAGTGCAAAATGGCCGGGAGGGGAGTGGTTTGGTAAATTCTAGAGAGGGGGATACCTGTTAGTAAATGGGTGGGTCCAAATCTGCCATGACACCGGTAAAATTAAATGCAGGAAGGATTGAAGAATGGGGCAGTAAATTTTTATTAGAGACAGTCATTGTTCATCAGGGCATAATTTCAAATGAAAAATTCTTTAACGATTGATCATGACCGATTTTAAACTACTTGAGGCAATTCTTTGATCATTTTTAAATTTTGAACATTCGGTTTCTTTAAACAGGAAAGCACCAAGTTTTTATTAGTCAGGAGACTTGAGAAAATCTGGTTCCACATCTCAGAATACGCCTTCTCTACCTAAGGTTAAACTTACAAAAGCACCATGAATGTCCATAAGAACAGCAAAACTTGTCATATGATAACAGTGGCAAACTGTGTGTGATGAACTGTACTTGTGTACAAAACAGCCTGAAGGTGACCAAGATGGAGGGCTACAGTGAACAATTCAGAGGAAAATTCTTAAGTTTTTTTATGATTTTCACACACATGTTTCTAACGAGGATACTTAAGTGAGATGTAGTTGTCTACGAGCTCATCACAAAAGAAAACCTCAATATATAAGACGCATGGACCTCTAGCCATTTGCAACTTCACCACCCTTTAGGTAATCATTGTAATTTTTTTTAGACAAAAGAGATTAACTGGTCTACTAAAATCCATTTTCGCCCCGCAGACTACCTTTTAGTTTGGGAACACTGAGGTCTGGAGCTGAAGCTGAAATAATTCTTACCAGGCTACAAGTATGGCTGACAAATATTTCCAGTGTTAATTGTATATAATATAATTTAATCTTGAGATATGTCTTCAGAATGTGATCCTACAATAACTTGCTAATTGACAGCCGAATTAAACTTTTACGAGAAATATGTCCACAGGCTTTCGGAATAATAGCACAACTACCGTGGTTGTGGAAAACACTCTATGTAAGAAAAGTATGTGCGGTTTGTGTCATCGATTGTACGCGACAAGTAATCAAAACAATTAATAAAAAGAAATTACCCTCAAACTTTAAGCAATAATAATAATAATAATTGCAATGATGATAATAATAATAATAATAATAATAATAATAAAACCTTCTTTTGTCCACGATGAGGATTTAAGCTTTGCAGCTTCTGGGATCGTGAATAGATAAACAAATTAAATATATTGAATATGTAAATGAGAAATAGTTACAGGATAAATCTTAAGAAAACGTATACTTATGTGTGTAAACGTGAAAGGAGATTTTTCAACGTAAGATTCTATCTAAATAATATCTGTAACTGATAAATAACTAATTGATATTGTTATTTGGCTAAAAAACTTAAATATAACCAGCGGTTATTTTCTACATAATTTGGCAAAGTCAGTGTTCTTGACCAGTTTGAAGTTAGAAGTGTTATGAAATAGAACAAAAACGTTAACTTGTAATTCTTTTTCATGTTGTTTTTCTGCATGCTCTACATCCGTAATACAGAGTCTCGTTTAGTCAAAAATGTCAAATACTTACTCTGTATTAAGATCAAGAAATGCACAAATCGGTGACGCGTCGTCATTTACCTGTAAAAAGAAATTGCGTGTACCACTTAAGAACACAGCAAATGACGTGATGCTATCTGAATGAACTAATCCATCTTTCATCGGTGTACAATGATCCACTGGGAAAATGGGAACTGAAAGAACCATAGAAGGTTGAATGAAACCCAAAAATAGGAGGTAAAGGTAAACAGCAGGGAACAAGGAATCATTGAGACTCGGATGTGGCATGAAAGAGGTCATGGAGAGAAGTCGGTTACAATTTGTTTCTGTATGATACATTTTTAGCAAAAGACTTCTATGGTGGTATGATTGTCATCACATGTGTGACAATAATTTCAATGAAGATTGGTCTAAACTACTGTCTACACTTTATTCTTGTCAACGTCAAGCAAAAACCTTCAGAAGCTGGGTTTCGGGGAAATATTTGCACGCACTAACGCCTTACTGATTCCATAAATACACAAAGTACTAAAGACAATGCTATCTGTATGAAATGTGGTGGAGGCATATTGTAAGCAAGAACACGTCAACCTTTTCAATGCCCTTTATTTTCCCCCTTTTCAGTTTTGATGGACTGTATTGTATCCAGTACAAATTACAGATTTCCTAATAGTTAAAGCAATGAGGCCTGTATTTTTCATATTTTGCGATTGATTGAGTGCAAAGACAGTAGAAGAAGTTACATAAGTAACAGTATTATATATTGCAGATTTAAGAAATAAGAATAAAACACAGGCGGTAAGGCAATTTAGAATAAATCATACCTCCGTGACTGATGAGAGATTTATTACAACAGGCTCACTCAAATTCTGAAATTTGCTTCCATTGTTAAAAAGAATAGTGCTTGAAATGATTTCTGAGTTCAATATTCTGTAGAAAAACAATACGTTCCGACATGGTATTATTCTATTATGTTCTAATAAATGTACTGTTAGCTTAAAGGCTACTATGGCATAACGAAAATATGGCATATTTTTGTTAGTAATTTGTTTCAAAACTCGTTAACTGCTGTAGCGCGTTTTCATGGCGGCCATCTGTGTGTTTCTAAGCAAAAGAAAATGGTTGCGGAAGAAAACAACTCATTTTTGAAAATAGAGGCTGTGAGAGGCTGCCATGACGTCATGTGGAAACGCTTTACATGTGCTTTTTTCTGAATACCCGAGGAAAAGTATCTTTGACCACTTGCCCTGACATATCTGGTACTACTTATATCAGCTCATTTCTATTTTTGTAGTCATATTTCGCAAACTTTGCTTCTAGGATAATGAGCAAAGTAATATGTCAAACACGAAAAGACGTGGCGCAGCAGCGTATTTTTGTGTGGCTTACTCGAAGTGTGTAGCAACACTATGTCATGATCGGATTTATTTATTTGTTTACGACAGTCAACGCCTGTCACGTGGTCTTGTGTTCCACGGCGCACTAGTCTGAGTCAGCCATTTCGGTTGTAAGTGTGGTCTCTAGTTTCCCCTGCTTTTAGTTTTAAAGGTAAGTCGTTTTTCATTTTGAGCTTGGTCTTGAGTTCTGCATCTTATCATTTCTTTACGTGTCGAAAATCTAGCTTCGTAATTAAGCACAAATAACGAAACCCGTCTGCAATTGTTTCACTTTCAGGTGTTCATGTAAGGCCTAGTTCAGACGTCGTGCTTCTGCCGTGCCGAACTAAATTGCAATTAGGTTCGACTGTAGCACGGCAGGAAAACAACTCTGATTCAGACGTCGTGACAGAGTCGAACCAAATTCAGGATATACTGATGCCTCGTAACAATTCTCCTCCTAACTCCCCGTAGGAACGCAATTCCGCCAAAATACATTAACATAATTTATGAATTTTGTTTAGCGCGGCAGAAGCACGACGTTTGAATCGCTGCCGTACCAGAGTCGTGTAGCACGGCTGAGCTTGTCGAACTTAATTCAAAAGTTTGATTCAGACGCCGTGCTTCTGCCGTGCTTTTGTCGAACTTAATTCCTGAATTTAGTTCGGCACGGCAGAGGCACAACATCTGAACTGGGCCTAAGTCGACAAATCGAGTTAACGGGAGTAAAGTTCCTCGCGAAAGCTAGGACAGACTTGGCATGTCTCCAGTGCAGGTTCTACAGGAGCCATTGTACTTTTAAAAGTCAATATTCATTGCTTTGAACCGTCAGAAGTTTAAAATGTCTCCATCGGTCACCTAAAATTCAAAGACAGTACTGCTTGAGTTTGAAAACAATATAAATCACAGACGCCTTCACAAGACTTTGGAAACAAGAGGGTAATATATTTCATCGCTTTACATTTGGACGGAATTAGAGGAAATACTTGTTTACAAATGTAAGTCATGGAAGAGGTCATTCAACGATCAGTTGACTCTAAAGCCGTCGATTTGCGGGATATATTTTTACCCTTTTAAGTAAGTACGCTTCTTCGCCTCAGTTTGAATATGAACTGTGACCTTTTCTCTTTGTCCAAATTAGATATTCATGAGTGAAATAAATTGCCATATTAGAGTTGATTTGCATTTGTTTACTGTACTTAGAGATCATAATCACTTTGTTCGAAAAGTAAGCTTATTGTATTTGGAGATTTAGACAATGATTTCTTTGCTATTTTTTTTAATTAACATTGTTGACCACACATTAATGTGATGTATGGATTTGTCTTATTTAAATTTGTTAAGCCTTATATACAATCAGTTTTATTTAAAACTTTATTAAATCCATTTTGAAATCACTG